GTTGCTACGGCGACCGCCGCCCGGCTGCCTGCTCTCGCAACACGTGACCCGGGCGGGAAACCGAAACCGGGCTGGTGTCCCGGGATGGCTTCCCGAGGCCGACTTCAGGTCCTGTCCACCCCGACGGCTTCCAGGGTAGTCTATTTCTGGGGCACGATTGCGGTTGCAGAGGCGGTGACACCAGGCCTTGAAATGCCCACTGTCAATCATTCTCTTATTATTTTCGGGTAGCTCTGTTGGCCCATCTGAGGTCTACCAAATAAGGACACACCTTCGTGCATGGCCCCTTCCTCTACAGTCAACTTCCTGCCAAACTATTAGAGGCAGCTGGGGATACCCTCTCAGCCAGGGGAGTCAACTGAGCAGAGGCCCTGGGAAGAATCCTGTCTGGCGGAGGGGGCCCTTGATCCTCTGCAGAGGGAAATGAAACACTGCAGCAAGTAACCAGCAGGCTTTCACCAAAAACAAGAGGAAGCTAAAGGTTTCAAGTTTGGAGCTATTTGGGGTTTGGAAACCACCCTCCAAGTTATGGGGAAATCATGAGGTCTCCTGTTGAGTAATTATATCTCATGAAAAAGAAGGCTACATGCTCTGTGCACTCTCAGCTAGGTTTGTAACTTTCAAGTGTTTGTGACTATGAGCAGCCATCAGACACCACCAGCATGCCTTTGAGGGCCTCTTTCCCTTGGATTTCCTTCTTCATAATATGAAGCACAGGACAGATTGTTTTAAATTTCAGAAGAGCCTAAAGCAGTTTTCAGAGTTATCTTGTCCTCATTGGAAACCACTCTAGAGTCAGATCAAGGGACCCACCTGGCCACTATCTTGTTTAGTGACTTTGAGGCTGGGCTCTCCAGTTGGTCAATGAATCTGAGCACCAGACCTTGCAAACATCACAAACTGCCCCCTCGGTTCATGCCAATCTTAGATCACACTCAGTACCAGGGCTGCTCCAATCTCAACAGCTCTCCAAATTTACCTTTTTATTCAAATAGCCACAGAGGCCAGATAAGCACCTTTGTCAGGACACCATGAAAACTCAGTTGACAAGCAAAGTTATGTATTTTGTGTCTCACAGTGATGTCAAAAGGGAACCCAAACTTTTCACAGAGCAGCAGCTAAAGCCACCAGTACAGCATGACTTACTTGGAAAAACCAAGTAGAATCATTCAGAGGACAGTTAACCTTGACCCACCACACTATGGTTTGGATTTTTTTTTTTTTTTTTTTTTTTGGTGATGGTGCTGGGGATAGAACCCAAGGCAAGCACTCTACCAACTGAGTTACATCCTCAGTCTTATAGTTTGGATCTTAAGTGCCACCCCAAGACCCACATGGTAGAGAACTGGTCCTCAGCTTGGTGCTATTGGGAGGTAGTTGGAGGCCAGTGGGACGTCTTTGAATAACTGGACATGACCAAAGGGACTATGGGATCCTGTTTTCTTCCTTTTTTGCTCCCTGACCATGAAGTGGGCAGTTCTGCTCTGCCACATATTCCTGCCATGATGCACTGCTTCCTTCTTCCCCCAACCAGAGGCCTAAAAGCAATGGGTCTGCTGACCATGGATAGAACCTCCCACACCATGAACCAAAATAAATTTTCCTTTATAATTATCTCAGGTATTTGTTATAGTGGCAAGGAGCTAATATATATCTTTCTGCTTCTTTGAAAACTAAAAACATTAACTCATTCAGCAAATATTGTTTTGAGCATGAAAGGCAATCTAACATAGTGAATAACTCAACAGGTTCTACCACTTTCTATTTGTGTAACTTCAATTTCCCCACCCATAAAACAGTCATGGGAATGCTGCTAAGATTAAATGAGCTAATTTGAGTGCATCATAAACACTCAATACTTTATTTTCATACATATTTATTTATATGATATATAAAATAGACTACTGGAGAAAGCTTGCTTGCCACTAGTTAATATTGATAATTATAGGTGAATTTATGGTGATAAAATTACTAATAACAGGGCTGGGGTGAAGCTCATGGTAGAGAGTCTGCTTAGCATGCATAAAGCTCTGGGTTCAATCTCTTGTACTTATTCTCAAATTACTGATAACCAACCAGTGGCCCTCAGCTGTAATCCCAGCGGCTTGGGAGGCTGAGGAGAAGCATCTCAAGTTCAAAGCCAGCCTGAGCAATTTAGTGAGGCCCTAAAGAAACTTAGTAAGAGACTGTCTCAAAATTAAAAAAAATAATAATAATAAAAATAACATTTGGGACTGTAGCTCAGTGGTTATGTGCCACTCAGTTCAATCCCAGTACAAAAAAACAAAAACAAGTTTTAAGACTATGGAAACAACTATTTCTACTTACAACTGTCATCTAGTGATAACTGCTAATTTTTGAGATGCTCTAGTTTGGATTTAACATTTAATGGTAAATAAACTAGGTTAATAGGAACTTGATTTCAAGAAACTTTTTTCCCTAAAAAAAAAAAAAAAAAAGAGGAACTGGGTGTGGTGGTGCATACCTTAATCCCAGTGGCTCCAGACTAAGGCAGGCTCCTGCCTTTGAGTTCAAAATCAGCCTCAGCAATGGTGAAGCACTAAGCAAATCAGTGAGACCCTGTCTCCAAATAAAATAAAAAATAGGTTTGGGGTGTGGCTCAGTGGTGGAGTGCCTGAATTCAATTTCAGGTAATTAATTTACATCATTCCTGATACCAAAAAAAAAAGCAGCAGCAAATTCTTTTCACCAAAGAGTCCTAAATAGAGACAATAAATCCAAACACCAGCATCTAGACAAATCTCTGAATATTTCAACAAACTGTTAGCACAGTATTCTCAGAGGATGGAGAGTAGTGGCTGTAGTATCTAGGAACAGAGCTCATGGATGATGGGGACACCTAGAGGCTATTGTGAGAACTACAAACAGCTAGGATTCCTCAGCAAGCATCCTGGCACTGGCACTGTGTGGGAGCTTGTCAGAAAGGCACTCTCAGACTCTTGGACCTACAGAATCAAAATCTTCATTTTAATAATGTCTTCCTAAAATAAAGTGGGTTTGTGACACATTTTCTGAAGTCATCTGAGTAGAACAAGCTTTATGTGATATTCCCAAACTTGCTGAAGGCGGGCAGAACCATCTGTCTTGAAAATGATCTTTGGGTACAAATCAAGTCTCTCTCTCTCAATCAATAAAACTCTGAAAACAGGAGATGAATGTTTCCTGGTTCATCTATAAGCCAATAGTTGCTTTAACATCTCTGCCATGGTACACTGGGGGGTATCATGGGTGGAGCCTGACCCCTCTATAGGCAGGGCACAGCCAGGCTTCCTGATGAGACCATGGACACTCCTGAGGGTCTTCCTGGCCACTCAGGTTCTAAACTTATTGGAGGCCTGGGAGACTCTACATTTGTTCAGTGAGGGGCTCTGCACATGCCACCTGTCAAGTCTGGATCTACGTCCCCTTCTGTGGTGTGCCTACTGCCAACCCCACACCTGCTGTGTTCCTGCTCCTTCATTTTCAAGTTAATTTACATCATTCCTGAAGCATTTGGTGGCTCACAAATTTCTCCTCTGTCAGGATGAGATTAGGGGCTCTTTAAGAGTGGGATGTCACTGTCATTTCCATTTCACAGCACAATATCCAATGTCTACACAAGACCAAATCCTTACAAATGGTGACTTAATGCCATGGTTCCCTGGGGTTTTTTTTTGCTACTTACCCACAAAACCCCACTATGGAAACCTATCTTACAAAATGAGGGCTGCAGGAATTTGTTTTTTAGGCAAACACAATAGGTAAGATCCACCCAGTAACAGAACATCTCCCCTCACTCCTGGCTGCCCTTTTCAAATTCTAATACAAGTCATTCTAATACAATTGAGAAGCACACAGACCCTGAAACTTAGCCTGCAAGAGGATTTGTATGTGGTGAGCCTGTGAGGAACACAAATCAGGCTTTGGCCTCCTGCATGTATTTAAGGACACACAACCAAACTGGCAGATACGCCGCAACTCAAGGGGAAAATCTCAAGAACTCTGCACAGCTATCTGGTTGAGGTTTAGGATGAATTTCCATGTCCCAAGTTAAAAATCTGTGTGTTCTAAGAATTCCAATCAGGACAATCAGCCTTCTCTTCTGCCTCTATGGTACTATGCTGACAAGTTCTTTAGAACTCAAAATGCTTACCTCTAAGAAGATGCAAGAATGAAGTTAACTACTAATATACAAAAAGCAAGGAGAATTTTTTTTTTTTTTACCAGGGATTGAACCCAAAGGTGGTTAACCACTGAGCCACATCCCAGACTCTCTTTTTTATGTTGAGATAGGGCCTTGCTAAGTTGCTTAGGTCCTTGATAAGTTGCTGAGGCTGGCTTTGAACCTGCCATCCTCCAGCCTCAGTGGCTGGGATTACAGGCATATGCCACCATGCCTGACCCGACGATAAATGATTCTATGAGAAACTTGGTATAGTTACAACTGTAGGGACCTTTAGATTAGTAAGGAAATTCAAAGGTCTTATCCATAAGATGCTGTGAAGTAATCCTGTGGAAGTTTAAGTGGGGGCAAAAGATAGAATCTATTCGCCAAAAACAAGGAGGAAACTGGAATAGAAAACACTGATAAAATCCTGAAAGTCAGGAAAAAAGATTCATAGGAAAAGATGATACCCCAATATTTATTAAAATCTTTTATTTTCAGCATCAAAACCCATAGAACACATTAGTTGTATTGTGTGGTGTCTTACCAAGTACATCCTCTATTTGTGCAACAGCTCTGAGAGGAAATCCTTGGCAGATCAAACATGAGGGTGGTGATTCTTACACCTCCTTTTAAGCGAATAAATTAGCTTCCGAGTAATATTTTGTTTCCCCCAATGTTCTGTTTCTGAAGAGCACAGTACAGTACCCAAACCCTATTCTCGCCCAGACTGAAGGAGTGGAAAGGAGAAAAGCTGCCCCAGCCCCCGCCTCCCAACCCCAAGCAAGCTTCCCGGGGACAGGTGTCCCCACCTGGCTTACCAGGCCTGCCTGGCAGGTGTGTGCAGAATGGATGGTCTATGTGTTACTGAAGGTCCACGCACAGAGATTGAGAAGAAAACATTTTATAAACTTCAAGTCTTTCTGCAATGTGAGCCAGTGTTTTCCTGTGTCAAAATAAATACATTTTCCTTGCTAGAATTATGTGACTAATACAAACAACTTCACCCATGTTTCCTGCAGCTCAAGATCACAGGACAGCTTGCACAAGACAACTAACTCACCAAGGGAGGCATTACCATCCCCAAAGGGTGACCAGTTACTTGGCAAAGAGAATAGATACAGGGAGGACTGGGAAGGGAGGCTGGGGGAATACAGTGCATGGGAATGAAAGGCCAAAGTGCTTTTTTCTTTTTTAAAGAAAAGATGGATTTCTGTGGAAGAAAATGCTGCCTTCAAGTGACATTAAAAAATTGGCTTGTACAGGATTTGACTTTCCCCATTTTCTTCTTACATTTCATCTGACATATTAACCCTGAATGCCAATAGGGAGAAATGCCTTAAACTATATTCAACAATATTATTTTTTTTACACAGAGAATTATTTATACCTTTCCTGCCAAATCATAATTCAGTCTTATATCATTAAAGAACAGTTTAAAAATGAAAACTATATGCCCAAATTTCTACAAACTTTGGAAAACATATTTTTAAGAAGTGGGAGAAGAGCAAAAATGACAATCAGTTCTGATTTCCTATTTTTATAGTATTAAATATATCTGCATCTATCTAGATGTTCAGTGGGCATACCTAACTTAGAGCTGACAAAAACCTTCCAATGGTTCGACTGCAATAGCCCCAGATTCTAATAACAAACCCAAGGAGGCCAGTGTTACAAAACTTTTAAAAAGATCTTTTTTAAACAGAACATAGCATTTGTGTTTTAGGGCTATAAGCTTATGGTGAGTTTTCTCTAAGATTGACCTAGACACACTTTTCCAGCTTAATCCAATTCTAACTTAGAACATAAATTTATGTTCTCAGCATGTCATACCACTCTTTCAGCTCAGTTCTAATTCTGACCACTATGGCTCTGAACACATTTTAAGATCATGAGTTTGAAAAGAATGAAATGGTACAATTTCTACAAATGCTCTGAAGAAAGCACAATTTTTTTTTTTTTTTTTTTGCACAGTACTGGGGATTGAACCCAGTGGCACCCTTCCACTCAACAACATTCTCGGCTGCTTTTATTTTGATACAGGGTCTCCCTAAGTTGCTGAGGCTGGCCTTGAACTTATGATCCTCCTGCCTCAGTGGCTAGGAATACAGGCATGTGTCAGATAGAACATTTGCCAAAAAAGCTTTCCCTCCTGTTTTTTCCCTTAGCAGAATCTTCTGCCTTTGATGTTATGAATAAATTTCCTGTTCTGAGAACAATTCTTATTCATCTCATTGTTGTACACCAAAGGCAGCATATATTTGAAAAGAACACTAATCCATAATTTAGTTCCATGAACACTCATGAGCAGAGTACAGCAGAGCAGACTGGTGTCCTTTCTATCAGCTCTTAGAAGTTTGAGATTAAGCACCAACCAAGGTGGACTGTGACGTTCCTGGGCACACACAGCAAGTGGTCTTACAACTGGGATTAACACTTCTTTGTCAACACTATTTCAGCGTTGTTTGCTAACATCAAGACCCTTTTAAAAAACTTGGTCTATTCTTATAACCACCTCAAGATGTATATAAAAAGTATAAAAGTTTCCTAATTCCATGTCATTTTAAGGTACTTACAAGTACCCAGTTATCTTTCAGTGTGAGAAAATGGGTATAAATTTGAAAGCTGTTTTTGGTCACCCAAAATTGGTCTCCAATGGTGGTCATGAAATGTGTTCAACCACTCTGTTTAAATATTAGTGTATGCTTGGCAGCAGTACAAAACTTCAACAGCATCTGGTCAAGATGCAGCAGGGCACTGGTCTCTGAATGCACAGAAGCGTGAGTGTCCCAGGCCTGCCCCGCTTTGCTCGATTAATTTTCTATAGTTGTGGACACTCCAGAATCTGCATTTCAACAGTCTGAATTGAGAGTGCCAAGAGGAGATTATACATCATGGGTTAAAAAATCCAAATGAGACTAAGCAATGAAATCAGGATTTGATATAAACCAAAATCTTCAGGCTCCTTCTGTCAACCTCCTAAGTTTCAAGGCTCAGAAGGCTTAGTTTTTTGATTCCAGTCTTTTGCGTGGCCCAAGTCACAGCTCTGTCCAGCCACCACCAGGGTGTACACTGTCCTCTGCAGAAGATCTGCCTTTTCTCACAAAAACATCAATTTCAATGACCAAATGCCTTAAAGGCCGTGGTGGAAATTCATTTCAAGAAAGAAGTGAAGACGACAGAGATCACAGGCAGCCTAACTTATTCAAGGTGTTATTTCAGTTAGCTTTGTTAATTTGGAAAGGATCTGCCAGCTGCTTTAGGCAAAAGAGGAAAATAAAATTCTCCATAAAGAGTCATGTTTGAGTTGTAAAATAATTTTCTCTAGAGACTTTGTTGTTGTTGTTGTTGTTAATTTGGACACAATTGTGGGAATGCAGATTTTACCTAGGTAAAAGTCATATTTGCTTTCTACACACTAAGAACATAAATACAGGGAAACCTGTCATCTTCCAGATTCTGGTTCTACCAGGTGTCTCTCTACTTCCCTCCATTAAGATCATCAAAACCATACTACCCAATTGCTCAAAAACCTGAACTTCTTTCCAATTTTGCCCTTCCCTTCAATTTTATCTTAAAAACATATCCCCTCCAACAGAGAATGTTATTTTGGCTCAACAGACAAAGTTTTATTTGCCGCCACTCCGTAGGAGGCAGTAAGCTTTCAAATTAGACTAGTCTTGGTAAAAAAGACACAAGAGATCTTAAAGTATTTCCACAAAATTCACAGGTGTGGAGAAAGGACTGCAAGGTTCTCCTCAAAACACACTCTGGAAGCAATCCCAGCATTCACTTATCCAAATGTCACACCTGTTTGTCCTTTGGTATGGAAACACAGACTGACCAATGCTGATGACCACTGCTAGAAATGGGCAACTGCCGAGGACGCTGGAAGGTGTTTCTGCAGGAACATCCCGAGCTCTGACACTTGTGGTCTTTGCTTTTGCTTCCACTACAGAAAAAAACAAAGACACCCAAGGCCATCCTGTCCTCCACCACCAGAACTTGCTGCTGGCCACTTCCAAAGCCATCTCATACCATTTGGAATTGATTGTGCTGTTTCTCTATCTTTGTAAAAATAAGTTTCACTTATTTTCTGTTGACAGTTACAAGTGGGACAGAGGCATCCTGTCTTCTACCAGCACAGTGTCCATCCCAAACTGGTCAGTGCACTGCTTCACGGTGGCCAGGACATTCAGGAGCCGCTGGTCCACAGCGTCCAGGTGAGGATCAGAGAGCACGGGGGAGATGGGATCATGGGCCATGGCAGATTTTAAGGCAGACTTTAGCACTCCATTCTTTAGGTAGTTCAGTCTGTTCCAGGTAGAAACCCTAATGCTGGAAGAAAAAGTTTTAGAACCAATTACATAAAAATCTCTGTCAAATGGAGTTATCTTGCTTGGCAGCAAAAGTAAAAGAAAAAAATTATGTATAATATTTTAACTAAAACAACAAAAAAGAAATCATTTCTGTTTTGGAATTACCTCTACGTTAGCAGTAAGCCACATGTTGGCTTTTTACACGTGTTTACTGCAGTGCTATTTGTAACAGGAAAATGTGAACCAATCTGAATGTCCAACAATTGGGAAATAGTTAATTATTGCTCAATCATTCTAAGAAATACTAGGCAGCTTTGAAAATTTAATAGCATGGAAAATGTTTATATGTGGGTGGGGAGACTTATATCTCCAAGTCTGTAGGGAGAAAAAACATGTGTGTTATGAGAATTATTAAGACTATATGCTTAGAAGCATATAGTGTTACAGTGTTAAGAAAATTATCTTTAAATGTTCCTTGATCTTTTAAATTTCCTTCTTTTAATTTTAAAAGTTTCACAATAGAAAAAAAATATTTTAAGGATACCTACTTTCCTTAATTATCTCACCAACTACTATGATTTTTTTTTTCAGTTGTTGACAGACTTTTATTTATTTTTATGTGGTGCTGAGGATCGAACCCAGTGCCTCACATATGCTAGGCAAGCACTCCACCTGTGCCCACAACCCCAGCCCAACTTCTATGGTTTCAATGTTTATTCCTTCTGAAACTCACGCTGAAAGCTGAACTGTCACTGTTAAAGTATTAGGAGTTGAGACCTTTTAAGAGGTGATCAGGCTGTGAGGGCAGAGCTTTCTTATCTGCTATAAAAGGTGGCCCTCTCCTCTCATTGCCTTTCTGCCTTCACCATATGAAGACACAGCAAGAAGGCCCTTACCAGATGCCAGTGCTCTGACACTGGACTTCTCAGCTTCTAGAACTGTGAGCCAATACATTTCTGTTTATTATAAATTACCCAATCTGTGATATTCTGTTAATAGAAGCATACAACAGAGTAAGCCACCAATTAAGGAAGATCTTTTTTTTAATTTATTTTTTAGTTTTAGGTGGACACAATATCTTTATTTGTTTTTATGGGTGCTGAGAATCAAACCCAGCGCCTCACGCATGCCAGGTGAGCGCACTACCACTTGAGCCACATCCCCAACCCAAGGAAGATCTTTTTTAAAAAAATAGAATTTTTCTCTCCAAAATCACCAATACCCTATTCCCCACAAGTAAGTATATGGACAGCTTCAAACTGGAAAATGGCTCCCAGAGGCTCAGAAAGTACTGACTTGGGACAGATATAAAAATGGCATTAGCAGTAATTCAGAGTTAGGAGAGGAGAGCTGATGCTGGAAAAACTGGCAACCTTTTACTCTTTCCCCAGCTCACCTTAACAAATGGAGAGACAACCCACCCACAGTACAGTGCAGGCCTTCCATTATTATTATTATTATTTTTAGTTGTAGTCGAAGGCAATACCTTTATTTTATTTATTTTTATATGGTGCTGAGGATTGAACCCAGGGCCTCCTGCGTGCTAGGCAAGCGCTCTACCGCTGAACCATAACCCCAATCCCAAAGAGGATCTTTTATTTATCTCAGAAGGAAAGTTCTTTCCACCCTCTGTATGAAGTGGAATTCACTAGGTAGGCAGTAGGCAAGAGGCAGCCTGCTCTGCAACTAATTAGAAAAGTAAGAAAATCAATCTCTGCACTAAGCACAGAGGGACTGTCAAGCTCAGACGCTGGCCAGTTTACTTACTCGAATTATGCCACAAATGCCCAGAGCATAAGAGCTTCCCATCCGCCATTCCCTGACCCTCATCTCAGGATCTTCTAGGGTTCTGGACTGAAAAAGTATGAAAATCACTGCTCAGGGAGCAGGAAGTTTTAAGGCCAAGAAAACAGATTCACGGTTCTGAGAGCCTGGAAGGGAAGGCACCACAGACACCGTGTGCTAGTGTAACTTACATGCAGCACTGATAGAGAGGGGCAAGGATGCTTCTCTCATCCAGCGAGGGGTTCCCAAAGCTGAAAATTAAAGAAAACTGAGTGAATAAGGCAGAAATACTAGTTCTCTTCTTAGGTTCAAAGCATCAGCAAATTTTATAAGAAATCCAAATGTTACTCTAGATAATTTCATGCTCCAGCAACTCAAATCACTTAAATTAAAAAGAAGTAGGGTGTGACCAATTAGACAAGGATCCGTAACAGCCTGTACCAAAGTAGGAAACAACAAATAAACTCATTTACAAGGATACTTTTTCCTGCCAACACACTGCAAGGTGCTGGATCATAACCATGGTAACACAGCATGGAGGTCACAGACCAAAGGGAGGATGTGAAAACTCCTACTTGCAAAGCTTTTAAAGGATGGCGAGAGCATAAAGGCTCCTCATATTAGGTTCCCTCAAACAGGCAGATGACCATTACTGGTAAAAAGAAGTTAACATTTGTCCTACTCCAAAATCACCAATACCCTATTCCCCACAAGTAAGTATATGGATAGCTAGCTTCAAACTGGAAAATGGCTCCCAGAGGCTCAGAAAGTACTGACTTGGGGCAGATATAAAAATGGTATTAGCAGTAATTCAGAGTTAGGAAAGGAGAGCTGATGCTGGAAAAACTGGCAACCTTTTACTCTTTCCCCAGCTCACCTTAACAAATGGAGAGACAACCCACCCACAGTACAGTGCAGGCCTTCCAATAATAAAAGGAATAGCAGCTACAAAGGTAAAATGTTTTGTCTTCTAAACTCAGTGATACCTAACGCCCAATGCAGCTACAAAGGTAAAATGTTTTGTCTTCTAAACTCAGTGATACCTAACGCCCAATGCAAGAGGGGGTCCTTTGTGATTAATGGGAATCTCATGAATGGATCCGTACCCTCATACAAAAGGTCTGGGGAGCTTATTCACCTCTTCTACCCATGAGGACACACAGAAGGCACCAGCTATTAAGTCCGGCTCATACCAGACACCAAATCTGGGGCACCTTGTTCTTGGACTTCCCAACCTCCAGAACAGTGAACAATACATTTCTGCTACCTATAAATTAAGAGATATAAGATATTTTGTTATAGCAGCTCAAATGGACTAAGGAATTACTCTGATATATATCAAGCACATGCATTGTAATACATATGACTTTTGGAGGGTTACTGGGGGTTGAACCAAGGGGTGCTTAACCACTAAGGATAAGATCTTTTTAACAAAATGTTCATTTTTTTAAAAATATTTTTTTTAGTTGTACATCTGGACACAATACCTTTTTTTATTTTTATGTGGTGCTGAGGATTGAATCCAGTGCCTTCCACATGAGGCAAGTGCTCTATCACTGAGCTACAACCCCAGCCCCAAAACGATCATTTTTACAAGAAAGAACAAAGATTTTTCAAATATAGACAGCCCTGGTCACTACTTGCTTTGCTGTGATAGGTTACAGGGTAAGGTAGTGTTTGCTGGCCTTTCACTTGGGTAGCTGTTACCATTTTCAAGGAGCATGAGGTACCTGTTGTTCAACATAAGAGCTAGTGTCATTTGCAAATGCTGGCCAAGCACTCTGCCGAGCAGCCACGTCTCAGCTTATTCCCAGCATCCAGTGGGATTTTTTCAAAATGGATTTTTTCAAAAATGGCCCACTCTGGACAATTCTGGGCTCCAAGGAAGCTTTCTATTTACTACTTATTAAATGTAACTAAAAGTATGGTACTGAGCCAGCCACCATGGAAAATATATCCAGTGTACAAAATGAAAATACAATGTGCTCTCCAAAGAGCTTAGGCCTAAAAAACAAAAATAAAAATAAGGACATTCTATTTATTCAAAATGAATAAATTTGTTTTATTCAAGACAAAAGTCATCTGTCTCTACATATCATCGCCATGCAATTACTCTTCCCCTCGTAACAGCAAAAGCCTGGACCTAGCTAGCCACAAAAATAGCAAAATATCCTATCAAATAAATTTTTAAATTGCACAAACCTTGGGATAGAATTTAATAGTAAATACATTTCACTTTCTAGTAGAACTGCATTTCTCAGATTTGATGTTCTATAAACATCGTAACTAAGAAAGAATGATGTAGGTAATGACAAATGAATAACCTTGACTTCCAACTGTCTGTGAAGAGGACCACAATTTCCATTTTTTAAAGTCCTGAGGGTGCAGGGAAGGACAGTGTTTATCAAGTGTCTTCTGGATATTTTCCAGGACACCAGCTATAGTTGGATCTGAAATGTTCCCCCAAAATTCACTGGTTGAAGGCTTGGTTTAGCTGGTGGTCCTCCTGGGAGGTGATAGAAACTTTAGGAGGTGGGGCCCAGCTGAAGGACGTAGTCACTGGAGATGTTCCCAGTGCTTGTCCGGCTGTCACTCCCTCCCTCCCAGATACCGTGAGGTTAGCAGCTACCCTCCACCACAGGTTCCCCATGATGTTTTGCCTCTCCACAGGTTCTGAAGGAATGAAGACCATGGAATGATACCGTGAGCCAAAATAATCCTATTTCTTTTAAATTATCTCCAGTATTTTAAAAAAAATAGCTGACTAGGTGGCCTGCAAGGGTGCATATGCTAAAGGAATGCCAACTGGCCTGTAGCACTGCTGGAGAGTCAGGAGCATTAGGAGGTAGGGTGTAATGGAAGGAAGTGAGGTCAACATTGGGACCCCAGCCCCTTTCTATGTTTCTTTGCTTCCTAGCTGTCACAAACACATTCTTTCCAACATGTGTTCCCACCACAATGCTCTATCTCATCACAGGCTCAAAAGCAACAGAGCCAGCAAACCTTTCTGAAACCATGAGCAAAAATAGATTTTTCCTCCTCTGAAGTTGATTTATCTCAGGTGCCTGTCACAGTGATGGAAAGCTAACACAATATGCTTGAAAATATCCTTTTATGCTTGGAAATGAACAAAAGATAGTCCTGCTGGCCTTACCTTTTGGCATTATCAAGAAGGATGAGCATACTAGCGCCTTCATCATCCTGAAAGCTCTCATAGTGATGGCGGTCAGCATTGCCAATCAGGTAATCAAAGACAGAGGTGTCAATGATGTCCAAGAGGCGTGGGCCTGAGTCATATGGGGATGTTTTCTTCACAGCATCACAGTAGCTCTCATCATACTCCCACCTGATGGCAAGCAGCATCACAAGAATTACTGAGTACCAACAATGTATTTGGCTGTTAACATCTTAAATGTCCCCCAAAGGCCATGTATTGAAAGCTTGGTTACCAGTCTGTGGCACTATCAGGAGGCAGAGCCTGGTGGAATGAAGCCAGGGCATCAGGGGTGTGCCCTTAAAGGAGATGTCGAGGCTCTAGCTCCTTTTACTCTTTTGCTTCCCAGCTACCATGAGGTGAGCAGTTTTCCTCTACAACTCACTCCCCATCATGATGTTCTGCCTCCCCACAGTTCCAAAAGCAATGGAGCCAACCAACCATGCTCTCTGAAACTGCAACCATGGCATGGAATCATGGCTCTGAAACTGTAAGCCAGAATAAATTTCTCCTCTTTCCAAGTTGTTATCTTAGGTATTTTGTCACAGTGACTGAAAACTAACACGGAGGGGCTGGGGTTGTGGCTCAGTGGTGGAGCACTTATCTGGCATGTGTAAGCCCTGGGTTCAATTCTCAGCACCACATATAAATAAATAAAATAAAGATTTTCCAACGACTAAAAAAATATTAAAAAAAAAAAAAAGAAAGAAAGAAAACTAACACGGAGAGCTGGTACCAAGAAGTAGGGTCGCTGCTGTGACTACACCTTATGATGTGGTTTAGAAACCTTTGAATTGGTTTGCAAGAGGAGTTTAGAAAAGTGGGGAGAAGCAGGCTAGAGAAAGTTTGGAATGCTGAAAGCAGGGATTAATGGGAGATTCTGGTAGAAACTCACAAGACTAGAATGTTGGCAGACAAAAGGAAAGTAAAGGTTTCAGAGGGAAACGAGGACTGTATTGGGAATTGGACTAGAAGCCACTTGTGTTAAAATTTTGGTAAAAACTTTGTCTACATTTTGTTCATTCTCTAAGACTTTGTGTGAAGCTGGGTTCAAAGTGACAGACTAGTTTATCTGGCAAAGGAAACTTCAAGGCAGCAAAGCAGTATGGGCATTACAGGCTGCTTTTAGCCAATTTTACTGTGAGAACTGGTAGCCAAAAGCAGAAAAGTGTGTAAAGTGCAGGCCAAGGAGGGTATAGATGCTGAAGACATCAGTGCCATTAAAAAGAAGCCAAGTACTTTGTACCTGAAGAATATAAAAGATGGAATCAGCCAGACCCCAATAATCACAGGTATAAAAGGATGAAAAAGTATAAACCTTTCATTTGAGAAAAGACCGCTGGGGCTGGGGCTCCCTGCTCACACAGGGCCTAAGGAATTGTTTCCCTAACATTCTGTGTTCAGCCATCAAAGCACTTAGAGGCCACTGCAACTGCAGATCAAGTGGGTCTGGCTAATGCTCGAGCAGTGGCAGACTGTGGTGTCATATAAGTGATTCTGATTTTGCAGGCATGCAGAATCTAAGAGTTGGGGGGTTACAGTCAAATTTCAAAGGAAAGCCTGAGAGGGGAATACACAAAGGTATGAGAGTGAAACTGAAGCTTCAATGGAGACCCCAGGAAATTAGAGATTCCAGGAATAAGCAAGAGAATGGTGGGACTAAGACCCATGTGCTTCATGCCATCTCTTCCACTGCTGCCAAGCCATGTTGGAGAAGCCCAAGGAGGGAGTGAAGATGGAGAATGACACATGAACCTGAAAGTGGTGGGGGAGGGTGGCTCAGTGGCACAGTTCAAGACCAAGAAGCACATGCCTGTTGAGCAAGCTGATGAAGTCCTGTGAACAGAACTGTCAATAAGTCTGGTTACATTCAGGTTTGATAAGCAAGCAATGAATGACACTTCAGCTCAGCCGGAGATGGAAGATACAGATGCCTTTGAGATGTTCTAGCAGCTGATGGGAGGCATGTCCTTCAGAAGGACCACCCTCACACCATGCCATTGTCCTTGCCTTTGCTACTGAACGGTGAATGGATAACCATGCTTATCACAAAGGAGTCTGTAAAAGCCATGGAGAATCACCAAAATGATCTTCCTCTCTGTTGCACTTTAAGTGCAGCACAAAACTGTATCTGCAGTGATGAACCTAGAGTATAAATTGGGCCAGATTGTTTTGTTTAGGTAAAATAAATTATGAGGTTTAGGATCTGCTCTTGTTTTCATTTGGTTTAATTCCCTGCCCCCAAAAAACATTTTTTTCCTTGAAACTTGTGGCCAAATGTTGGCTCTCAGTCTATAGCAGGCTCTCACCCTTGAGGCACTTGTCTTAAATTATGTGGAAAGTTCATGTTCACATAATGGCATTTCTGTATGACAATGTGGGGGGCAGAATTCCACGATTTGCTGTAGGTACAGGTTATTAAAATGCCAGAATTGCAAGCTTTGTCAAGCACATGGTAAAGTTGAAGAGACAATACTGGAATGCTTCTGAAAAGTAAAAAAACAAAACAAAACAAAACAAAACAAAAACCTAAGTCCTTCTGTAATATGGCCAATTGCTTACTCTTTCTCTGCTCTGGAGTGTATCCCCTGAAGCCTGAGGCCCAGGATTCTACCACTCAACTCAGAGGCCGGTATGGATATTTGGGGAAAGATCAGCACAACAGAAAGAAGCTTTTGCCCTTTTCAAAACATATAAGAAAATAATTTCCATGTTTCTCATGGTAATTATATTGAAGCCTCAAATTTCTTCTAGTATTTACTTCTGATGAATAATTATGATCTATATAAAAAGACTAAGAGTTGCTGAACTGCCATGATGTTGTGTAATAGTTACTTCAAAGCGTGCCTGCAAAAGAAAGCAACGGGAAAGGTGACTTAGTGTTCTTATAGACTTGTGTTCTGCTGCTTTCTGAATAGGTACTAAAATATGTATTAGTATGGTGATTCCACTTCTTTTTTAACTTTATTTTTTGGTGCTAGGGATCAAACCCAGGGCCTCACACATGCTAGGCAAGTGCTGTGCCATTGAGCCACATTCTCAGCCCAAGATTATTTTTGTTTATTTGTAGTGCTAGGGATTGAACTCGGGTCTCATGCATGGCACATGCTGTGCCACTGAGCTATACCCTCAGCTCCTGGTGATTCTAGTTCTATGAAATATTTGGGGGTCTATACCAATTAAAATGTTTATATTTCTGCTTATTGTACTTCTATAAGGATCCATTGCTGCTTGATGGCCATTTTCTGCCTTTTATAGTCACCTGACAATGACACATTATCTCACTTGCTTAAAATCTTAAAAAAGAAAATGTTCTAGTTTGCTTTGTTTTGTTGTACTGGCTGCGGGGGAGGGGGGATGGATGTTTGTTGGCTCCATTATGTTTTTCACAGTCTGTACATTATTTGTTGTACTTTACTACAGTAAATAGCAAAACAGTTTGGCAAAAAAATGAGGTGGGGAGGGCAAAGATACCAGGAATAGGGAATGCCTGCTGAAGCTGAAGGCAATGATCATGCTTTGAAGAGAAGCCAGGTGGGCTGTGTGGCAAAGCTATAAGGGTGGGGCTGCCCAAGTCTATTGAAGCTAGACCTCATGCCACTGTGTGCCCCAGATGCCAGACATGGAGCTAAACAACTTAATGTTTGTGCTGCTGGGAGTTTGGTCATGCTTTGTTCTGATTCCTTCTTGTTATTTTTCTATTTCTCTCTTTTAGAATGGAAATGTTTACTCTGTGCCACTGATCTGAAGTGTATTACTTGTTTTTTTTAAGCTAAGAATTTGCCTTGAATCTCAGACAGACTTTGGACTTGGGTTTTTCAGCAATGCTAAAATAGTTAAGACTTCAGGGATTCCTGGAAATGGACTGAATGCACTTTTCACCATGAGATGGACACACCCTTTCAGGGCCAGGAGAAGAATGTTATAGTTTGGATCTCAAATGTTCCCCAAAGGCCATGTGTTGAAGGTTTGGTTGCCAACGTGTAGAGCTACTAGGAGGTGGTATAACCTGTAGGGGATGGGGCCTAAGCCACTGAGGGTGTGCACTGGAAGAGCCATTGGGACCCCAGCCTCCCCGCCCCCTCTGCTTCTGGGCTTCCTTGAGGTGAGTGTTCTCTCCTGCCATCTACTTTTAATATGAGGTACTGTGCCACCACAGGCCCAAAGCAATGTGGCCAAGTAACCATGAATAATTATGATCTATATAAAAAGTAACAGAAATATTTAAAATAAGGGCCAAAATACACCTTTCCTTCTTTTAACTGTTGATTTATCTCAGGTTTTTGTCATAAGGACACAAGCTATTATTGAAACACTGTCACTGCCTTCTGCCTTTTTTTTTTTTTTAAAGAGAGAGCGAGAGAGGAGAGAGAGAGAGAGAGAGAATTTTCAATATTTATTGTTTAGTTCTCGGCGGACACAACATCTTTGTTGGTATGTGGTGCTGAGGATCGAACCCGGGTCGCACGCATGGCAGGCGAACGCGCTACCACTTGAGCCACATCCCCAGCCCCTGCCTTCTGCCCTTAACCTGACAGTTCTTCTTTTTTTTTTTAAACTCTTGGACAGAATGCCTGACTCCTATGCAGGATTGGCACCTGGCCAGGCACAGGGGAGAATTAAGCTATGGCTCAGAGAAGCATTTACCTGGCCAATTTGCCTTCTCGATAAGTCCTGCCCCAGGGGTGTCGGTGTTTCTGCAGAGGCCACACATCTGGAAGCCAAAGCGTGACAGATCCCTCCATTGTGTCTCCATCTGCACAAGCTGGCTCTGTTTCTCGGCAGTAATAGCACTTCCCATAGAAACAAGTATTGTTTCCTAAAGGACAGAAAGGAGTCATATACGCTTAAGGAAAAAACAAAAGATTCTAAATTCTTCCCTAAATAATGAGGAAAAAAATCAGCTAAGAGGACACAGACAGCAAAGATCCTGAACTTAATATATTTTACACATTTTTTTTTGAATAGATAAGAAAAGTAGGGCTGGGGATGTGGCTCAAGCGGTAGTGCGCTCGCCTGGCATGCGTGCGACCCAGGTTTGATCCTCAGCACCACATACCAACAAAGATGTTGTGTCTGCCGAGAACTAAAAAATAAATATTAAAAATTCTCTGTCTGTCTGTCTCTCTTTCTCTCTCTCTCTCTCCTCTCTCTTAAAAAAAATAAATAAAAAGAAGAGTATATAGTATATAAAACTTTACAAGGTCCAGAAGGATTTATACTAAAAGGTAAACTGCCATCTGGTGTAGCAGCGCACACCTGTCTATAATCCTAGCAACTTGAGAGACTGAAGCAGGAGGATAACAAGTTTCAGGCCAGCCTCAGCAACTTGGTGACATCCTGTCTCCAAATAAAAATATAAGTAGGACTGGGGAAGAACTGGGGATATAGCTCAGTGGTAAAGCATCCCTGGGTTCAATCCCTAGTACCAAACAAACAAACCAAGCTTCTCCCTCAACCCGCTCCTCTCCCTTTGATCCTGTTCCTTTTACCTAGTGTCACTCCCAAGAGTCAAATACCACCTCATTATTTTCCTTAACTAATTAAAATTTTTTTTTGTTTTTTGTAGTTATACATGACAGTAGAATGTATTTTGATATACCATATATACATGGAGTATAACTTCCCATTCTTTAGTTGTACACGATGTACAGTTACACTGGTAGTGTATTCATATAGGAACACAGGAAAATTATGTCTGATTCATTCTACTGTCTTTCCCATTCCCATCTCCCCTCCCTTCCCTTTATCCCCCCTTTGTCTAATCCAATCAACTTCTATTCTTCCCTCCAGCCCCCTTATCGTGTGTAAGCATCTGCATATCCGAGAGAACATTCAGCCTTGGTTTTTTGGGGATTGGCTTATTTAACTTAACATGATAGTCTACAGTTCCAGCCATTTACTAGCAAATGCCATAATTTCATTCTTCTTTGTGGTAAGTAATATTTCATCGTATATATGGAATTTTCTTTATCTAATCATCCTTTGAAGGGCACCTAGGCTGGCTCCATAGCTTAGCATTGCGAATTGAACTGTATGAACATTGATGTGGCCACATCACTATAGTATGCTGCTTTTAAGTCCTTTAAGTATATGCTGAGGAGTAGGATAAATAAGTCAAATGGTAGTTCCATTCCAAGTTTTCTGAGTAATCCCCATATTGCTTTCCAGAGTGGTTGCACCAATTTGCAGTCTCATTAGTAATGTATGAATATACCTTTTCCCCCACATCCTCCCCAACATTTATTGTTGCTTTTATTCTTGAGAATTTCCATTCTAACTGGAGATAAAATCTTAGTGTAGTTTTAATTTGCATTTCTCTAATTGCTAGTGATGTTGAACAGTTTTTCATGTATTTGTTGGTCATTCATATTTCTTATGTGAAGTGTCTGTTCAGTTCCTTTATCCATTTATTGACTGGGTTATTGGTTTTTTTGAGTTCTTTATATATCCTGGAGATTAATTCTCTGAGGTGCAGGTGGCAAAGATTTTCTCCCATTCTGTAGGCTCCCTCTTTCTATACTTTTGTTTCTTTTGCTATGAAGAAGCTTTTTAGTTTGATAAAAATCAAATACTTAAAGGACTTAAAAACCCATTTATTGATTTTTGACTTTACTTCTTGCACTTTAGGAATCTTATTGAGGAATTCAGTTCCTAAGCCAACATGATGGCTATTTGAGCCTACCTCTTCTTCTCCTAGATGCAGGGTTTTGTGCAGGGTGAGCGATAAGTGTCTAGTATCATTTATTACATAAGGATTTCCAGTTTTCCCAGCATCATTTGTTGAAGAGACTATCTTCTCCAGTATGTTCATGGCGCCTTTGTCTAGTATGAGATAACTATATTTATGTGGATTTGTCTGTCTTCTATTCTGTATCATTGGTCTTCATGTCTGTTTTGGTGCCAATACCGTGCCGTTTTTGTTACTACAGCTCTGTAGTATAATTTAAGGTCTAATATTGTGATGCCTCCTGCTTCACTTTTTTTTGCTGAGGATTGCTTTGGCTATTATGGGCCTCTTATTTTTATGACTGCCTTTTCTATTTCTATGAAGAATGTTATCAGAATCTTAATAGGAAGTGCACTGAATCTATACAGTGCTTTTGGAAGTATGGCCATATTGACAATATTAATTCTGCCTATCCAAGAACATAGGAGATCTATCCATCTTTTAAGGCTTCTTCAATTTTTTTCTTTAGTGTTCTATAGTTTGTAGAGGTCTTTCACCTCTTTTGTTAGACTGAATCCCAAATATTTTATTTTCTTTGAGGCTATTGTGAATGGGATAGCTTTCCTAATTTCTCTTTCAGTTGATTCATCATTGATTTATAGAAACCCAATTGATTTATTGATGTTATTTTCATATCTGAACTAATTTTGATTACAGAAAATGTTTTCCTCTTTAGCAGGACTGAAGTTTTGGCCAGTGTGCCCAGGAAAGGGAGAGAGGAAACATGCTTAGTTTGGTAACATGGGTTGGGGGTAAGTAGTTGAGGAAACAAGTAAATAGACCAAGGACAACTGGAACCAGGTTTCTCACAGAGGGAGAAGGAAGATAAATACACAGAAAAGGAGATGGCCAGAATAAACTCCATCATGAATTAGAATTGGACCTACTGGTTTCAATTGACGTTTTCCTTTTTAATACTTATTTCTCTAGTTGTAGTTGGACACAATATCTTTTATTTTTATGTGGTCTGAGGATCGATCCCAGGGCCTCACATGTGCTAAGCAAGCACTCTACCGCTGAGCCACAACCTCAGCCCTCAATGGTTTTAACACATACACAGAAGCATAAAACGTCATGTATGTGTGTGTACATGCATACATACATTTCCTATGTCTATACTTCAAAAGAACCCCAAAATAATGATACTAGGTAGTAATGAGCACAACCACATATTGGTTTCTAAAGACCATTCTACATTAGCTGTCTCCAAGGTAGGAGCAAGGAACAACATGCCAGTTGTAAGGAAATGCTCAGAGAAAGATGAACTATTCCAAAAGCACACAGGAGCTAGTTTGTAGGGGCTACCTCTGGCCAAATCTGGGGCAGTCTGAACATCAAAATAAAAATTAAATACTAATAAATTAAATCTGTAAATTCATAGTGACATGACTAAAGAAACGTGTGTGTATGGGTGGGGAGGGGAGTGTTGCAAAGGTCTACCCTACAACAGAATGACAATAGAGAAGCAAGACAGAATTAGAAAATTGCCATTTGGCAACTATCATAATAATTCAGACAAAAATTGTCAATAAATGCTAAAACTGGTGGGTGAACATTTGATAAGGCATGGGATATTTACATAGCTCTAAGGTATTTCCCTATAAACGTACTCATTAGTAAATACAAAATACTTATTAACTTTATACTGGAGAAACCCTGCACTTCAAAACCCATCATCTCGAACAAGTGATAAAAGTTGTTATCACCAGAAATGGGACCTATCAAAAAATCTGTATCATGTACCTTAGCACACATATCATCTCTCTGGTATTTTGCCAAAATTTTTAAATCATGAGTAGATATTAGATAAACCCAGATTGAGACATTTTAAGTTCATGAAAACTTAGGAGAATAAATAATTGTTAAAGACTGATGGAGTTGGGCTGGGACTGTAGCTCAGTGATTGAGCACTTGCCTAGCACATGTGAGGCTCTGAGTTCAATCCTCAGCACCAAATAAAAATAAAGGCTTTAAAAAAAAAAGAGAGAGAGAAAGATTGAAGGAGGTTAAAAAGAAGTAATTGACCATAACATGTGATGCCAGAATGAATTCTGGATTTATATAGAACATTCCAGAAACAACTGGAAAAATCTGAATAGAGTTCATGGATTACATGGTGATATTGTGTCATTGTTAATCTCTTGATTGTGATGGCTGAATGTGGTTATGTTGGAGAGTGTCCAAGTTTTAAGGAAGCATCCAATGGAGTAATGGGCACTCATGTCTGCAACCTATTCTCAAAAGGTTCAGAAATGTTAAATGAGGGATCTGAGTGACTCTAAACTATTTCTACTACTTTTATGTAAGCCTAAAATTGTTTCAAAATAAGGTTTAAAGTTAATATTTCCTCTGCCCACCCTCACCTCCATGAAAAATACCCATCAAATATACCAACCTTCTATACCTCAAAAGCCTCATCTATTCTTTTTTTTAAAATAATGAGACCAACCCTTTTGAAAGAGTTATTTATATATAAAATTTTAGTTGTTGATGGACCTTTATTTTATTCATTTATTTAAACGTGGTGCTGAGAATTGAACCCAGTGCCTTACACATACTAGGAAATTGCCCTACCACTGAGCCACACCCCAGTCCTCATCTATTCTTTTAATAACATTATTATGTGGGTGTATCCTTTAGGAGACAAACAACATTCACAGTTATTTGTATTTCTAACTTCCAGCAGAGTACATAGTAAACAGAAATGAAACAACCAAGTATCCACCTGCAAAGCTGAATATATCGCTTTCCTTCACCTTAAAAACCTTTTCAGATAAAGAAGATTTGATCTGTTTAAAAAGTATCACATTTAGAATGTTTAAAAATTATAAAAATAACATAAATTTGGGCTGGGGTTGTAGCACAGTGGTGGAGCGCTTGCCTAGCATGTATGAGGCACTGTGTTGGATCCTCAGCGCCACATAAAAATAAATAAAATAAAGATCCATCAACAATTAAAAAATTGTTTTTTAAAAAACATAAATTTATAAATATAATTGAATCAGGAATATCAGTAAATCTTTCAGAGTGTAACCATACATGAAAATTTTAAAGACCATAGGAAAAATAACTGCTAGAAAGCTCTTTTT